TCATCAAATCACCTATTGTGACTGCTTTGGAGCACATAGGTGTGGTTGTACATGCAAAGCCATCTTTGTAAAACGGGCCCTAAATTCTGCTTAAAAACATTTAGACGTACCCCTTTGTATTTTCACAGCTTATTGAGGGTATTTCCTCTTTCACCAGAAACAAACTCCTATTCATAGACAGTAATAATAATCTAGCAGCCCCCAACTCTAGAACACATGTGTGAAGGCATGGAATGTGGCTGGGCTCTTTCACAATCTCAGGAACCTGTGTAAACTACACCATGTTATCCCGGTTTTATATGTCAGACTTCAGCAAGGTTAGCCAGTGTGTTTTGGCTGCATGTCAGGCTGTGTACCTCAGTACACAGTTTTGCAGCCCATGAAGTGCTGTCATATAACTGGAAAGTCCTCCAAATTAGGAATTCATTACTGCCTCCATTTTACAGATGGTACCACTGAAATTTAGAAGAGTTGTGCGACCAGGTTACATCATTCATGGGTGACTTAGCTCACTTTCAAACATGTGTCCTGCTAGGCTACAGCCCGTACTACCCAAGTACTTAGTGGGAGAAAATGTGGAAGCTCTCAAACATAAACACTGTCATATTTCCTTATATCCACCTTTGAATTTATCTTAGAAGAAGCCCCTCTTTTCCTGTGTCTCAAGGAGAAGCTGATTCTGTTCCATGTTCCTCAAAGTTTCCTTTATTCCCAGGGAGTCTTATTTATCCCCAAGTCTTCCCACTTTAACTGTATAGAGAACACTTTCAAATCATTCTCTCTGAAATCCAGTTATTGGTATGAACCACTTAAAGAACATCTTTTTTTCCTTTCAGTGTTGGGAATTGAACCCAGGACTTCATGATACTAGGCAAAAAAAAAAAAAAAAAAAAGGAAAAACAAAAACAAAACTCTACTACTGAGCTACCTCCCCTGCCCCCTTGTTTTAAAAAAATTTTTGAGGAAACTCTTGCTAAGTTGCTCAGGCAAGCCTGGAATTTGTGATTCCCTGCCTTATCGTCCCCAGGTAGCTGAGTTTACAGGCACCATACTTGGCTAAGGAGCATCTTTCCTTGATAGTGGACTTTTAGAGATACTCTCTACCCCATTCCAAGAACTCAGCTTTCTACAACTCATTCCCAGTCTGCCATTTCCCGGGCATTCTCCATGTACTTCTGTATCTCTGTGCTTTTGCTTATACTGCTGAGAAAGTTGTTCTTTTCTTCTATTTGTAGAAATTCTATTCACTTTATTTATCTAACTCAAGCATCATACCCGCTGTTGTGGTTTAGACATAACATATCCCCCCAAGATCTCATGTGTTTGGAAGGCGATTGGATCATGGGGCACAATACTCAACAGTGGATTGATCCGTTGATGATTTCATAGCTGGATGTGCTGTTAGAAGGTGGGTCTGGTTGGAGGTGGGTTACTGGGGGTGACCTGGAAGGGTGTATTCTTATCTCTTGTTTCTCCTTGCTCTGTCTGCTTTCTGCCTGCCACAGATGAATACCTGCCCCCTCCCAGTCCCTTTTACTATGCTATTTCTGCCTTGAGTCCACCAACCATGAACTGAATCATCTGAAACTGTGAGCTAAAACAAAACTTTAAATGTGGGTATTGGTGTTTATTCTGTCTCAGTGGTGGGAAAGCTGACTAATATACCTACTATGAACACTTTCCCACCTCTTCTGTCAGATGATTGTTCTCTGATTTTCCAAAGGACTTTGCTTACTGCAATTTACACATCAATTACCACATGAGAAAAGTTTGTCTCCACCTCTATCTCAACATATAAGTTGCCAGTAGAATGAACACAAGAAGAAAATTATATTTACTGCTACATCCCTTCATAGAATAAGTGTGGCTTAGTATTTGTTTAAAGGAGTAAAAGAATAAGGAAATGAATTATGACTCAGTACAAGTGATCTGTCACCTATCCCAGGAGTTACGTTCCAGAGACCCCTGCGATAGGTGAAAATCCACGAAGTAGAGGTGTTATATTTATTTTATTATTTATATATATTTTAAGGCTTCACAAACCCTTCCCACACTCCTATAAACCTTTCCCACTCTCTTATTAACCTTTTCCACACTCTTATAAACACTTCATAAGCTCTTAAACACTTTCATACTCAAACCTACATAACTTTAACAACATATAAAATTCTGTATGGGTATTTTTTTTTTTTAAATCTCATGATACAGTGAAATGGCATAAGTGAACCGCGATGTAGCGAGGTACAACTTGTACTTCAGTCTTTCAGCACACCCACAGAGGATATGGCCAGATTTCCCTGCCTCACCCCAAATGTTTGTTATCTTGGGAATTTGTCTCGTTTGCTTTGTGAAGATACTGAGTTTTTTTTTAAAGTCTGCTGTATGAAATTATGAAGAAGGAAAGAGAACGATATATTTTTTTTGTAAAGTAAATATGAATGCTACAGAAAAACAAACAAAAATTAAAATTTATTTTTGTTAATTTTAGACTAAGTTAATAGGAATTGATCTTCATTAACAAATGCTTATATTCATATATTAAAACACAGTAAACTTCATTAGATTGAAATAATGAGTTTGGGAAGATGGGGAGGAAAAGCCAGCCTAGATAATGGAAAACAGAATTTATTGAAAGCAATGCAGTTTTGCTACTTTCAACACTATAATCTACAAATAAAGTCTGTCTAAGGAGATATCTACCTAATGATATGGACTGTTATTTTATAGCTGAATTTTTTTTTTTCTGTAAAGATCATATTCTAGATCTGTGAAAACAATGCCTTTACATGGGTTGCAAGTGTCCTATTATGATTAGTAAAGCCATTCCTTATAAATCATTGTAAGGTGAATTTTAGGTTAGTCTAGATAGAGTTGCCACAGACTGTGTATTACCAATGTCTGACTTAATAACGTCTTACTGTACTCATAGTTGGCATTTTGGAAACTAAACAATGTAGTCCAATGTCCCAGAGAAGTGGTAAATACTTTGAAAACAAAAATAGAAGACATGTTTGTCATCTGCGCCTGGGAGGCCGTGCGGTGGGGAGCGCTGGCCTTTGGGCTGGCCCCTAGCCATGGAGGCACCCAGGAGGCAGGCAGTCGGTGCCCGGGAAGCTGTGCGGCGGCATGCGCTGGCACGGGTTGAACCTCAGGTCAGCTGCCGCTGGTCTAGAACTATCATGGCACAGAGAAGCAATGACACAATTGGCCTGCCACGCGCCGGCTGCGGAGGCCTGCCCGGGGACGTGCATGAATCATCCCAACATGGAGAAACCCCTGGGAACACATGCCACACAACAGGTCTCTCTTGCCCCTGCCGTTGAGAACCAGAAAGTTCCAGAGTCAGCAGAGGAGCAGCTACTGAACAAGGACTCGGAGAACATGAGAATACAGACTACAACCAAAGACTCAGAGGTCTAGCTGACCAGGGTCACGAGAGCCGTTCAGAAGCTGGAAACCAGGAGGACCTTGCACAATACCTGGGGAGACCCCCTGGAAGCCATTCTTCCCCTGACAGTACAGGCTGTAGAGGTGGAGCATGTGGAGCTCTGGAGAGGTCTGCACCGAGATTCCTGCTGCCTGTGCTCATGGCTGGGGACAAGACACTAAGTGGTTGTAGGGTCCCAGTACTCTGGGAGGCTGAAGAGAAAAAGCTACAAAAAATGGCTTTTGCCCCAGATGGCTCACTTGAGATGTTAGTACGAATTACCTCCTCGGTATTCTATAGCTGTGATGAGGAGGAGGCCAAGGAGAGAAAACAAAGAGACCGAGAAAAAGCAGCTGCTTTGGTTGCAGCACCAAGAGAAACAGACCCTAAGTCTGATTCTCTGGGCTCCAAGAAGAACTTGATGAATACATTCATCTGCTACCACTGTTAAAAGCCAGGCCACCTCAAGAGGAACTGCCCTAAGAAGCCCCCTGAGCCATGCCCTGGATGCAAAGGAGACCACTGGAGATCGGTCTGCCCTCTGAAGTGGAGGCCCCAGAGCTCAGACCCATTCTAGCAGTTAGTCTAACAGGAATGAGGGGGCCTGGGGCATACTCTGCCTTCTCCCTCTGGCCAGACCGTCATCTCCATCGAGGAGTCCTGGGTAATCATGACTATGGAGGAACAAGAAAACAGCTTGTTGCTAGACACAGGTGCAAGTCTCTCGGTCCTTCTTTTCAATCCTGGCCTTCCTTCCAGCCATCACACCTCAGTGAAAGGAGTCACTGGTGAGGAGGTAATATGCTATTTAGGCTGTAACTACTTGTTAGATCTTTCTTGCATATCTCTGTCTTCCAGGGAAATCACTTTGAAGATATCACCATGTATTACAGCAGCCATTGATATTTTCCTACTAATCTGTCCATAACTGTGTAATGTTTGTATTGTTTCTATGCTATTTTGTAAATGGACGTATGTTTATTACTATGTGTTTCCTACAACAACATTGAGAATAGTCGATGAGTATGCAATTGGTCACTCATGTATAGCTCTATTTATTTTCTTTAGAAACCACTTTGAAGATATCAAAGTATAGTACAACAACCATTGATAATAACCTGCCACTTTTGTCTGTAACTTACTATTGTCTATTTGTTTTCCTGAGAAACTATCTTGTAGATAACAATATGTAAAACAACCACCATTGATAATTTCCTACCACTTTTTCTGTAATTTGGTTAGCCCCCCTATTACTATGTTATCCTTCTTTTACTCTTTAAAATAAAAATAAAAAAAGAAGAAATGTTACTTTTTAAAATAAGAAAAACATTACTTGGTCGTCAAGCTAAATAGGATGGAAATCTATCTTCAGAGCCTTTGATTTTCTCTGTAATGTTCTGCAAGGCATGAACTTTGGTCTGCTTGTTTCTCTCCCTGTCCACAGACTTTCCATACTCCAGGAGGGGTGCCTAGGCTGTGCTTTCTGGTGATCACTATCATCATTAGAACAGTGCTTTGAAGTAACACTCAGGTCTGCTATGGGGGACACAAATATTATGAGAAGGTTACTCACTGGTTCTGAGTGCAGGCTGCAAGTCAATTACTGGCCCCCATCCTGGAAAAGAAGAGGAAAGAAATGCACATATTACCACCACGTCCAAAGACATTTGCACAACTTTCTACACAAAGAGGCCACAAAGTCTGTAATATTTTATTTGTAACAAGAAAAATCAAGGGGATGGGGAAAGTCATGAAATATATATGCCGCCTCTTACGTTTCAGGGCTAGTTAATGGAGAAGGGACAAATCTGCATTCACTGTTAAACTTTGTTTGACAACAGACAGTTTGTGCTTGTGTCCTCTCTGATAGGGAGAGGAAGGTGGGGAAGGGAGATGGGATGGGGATGGAAAATGACCATCAGAGAGAAGGTGAATTTCCCTGATACTTAACGTTCTGCTCTATCACATATCAGTATGTTAGCCTATAATTACATTTTCCACTGAAATACTGGTGTAAAATTGAGTGCTCCAATGTCTTTGTGTAGCATCAATTCTCAGGGTAGCATGCCATGTGCATCACCTGGGACTGAGGGTCACTAGTCTGCAGTAGGATGTCTTAGCTTGGAAGGCTTGGAGGAGTACATGAACTGAAATCCAGAATGAAAGAAAAGGGCTTTCAAGGAAGCAATCGTGGATATTTAAATTACCCGGAACTAATGGTAGTTTACTCTGTAGTAAAGGACAGTGAGAGAGGGTTATTTTTTTAAAATCTTGTTGACCAAGAAGGGCTTCTTTCTGCCAGATGAAGATGGCCAGATGTAATATAGTATATTACTTCTTGTTCAGCCATCTATGGGGAGAGGAGAGCCTTACTCATGCTGTGAATGATTCTTGGAACTGTAAGCAGATAGTTACATGGTTAATATTAAGCTTTTTGAAATTCAGAATTCCAATTCTCTCCTTAAATAGCTCATTATAAATACATAATATAGAATATAATGTCATGTTATACCATACATTTTGTTTAATCATGATGTAATATATCTTATCATATTATTTACTTATATATTATATATTTGATACATAGATAATGTTTTCTCCCTGCATGCTTTTTTTTTTTGCTTTTTAACAGAAAACCTTTTCAAAATATATTAAAACTCAAACTAGTACTCAGAATGATCAGTATTAATTTTCTGTGCTTATATCTTGTTCCATTGCAATAATCCACTATCAGAGAGACTAATTAAGAATATTACTTTTCTAACCCTAATTGAGAGCAAAATCGTCTTGACTTTTGTCTTCTTAATCAGTCTTTCACCAAATTTCATTTGTGCTAAAATGTATCAGGTTCTACTTACATCAATGAAATGCTATTCTGTTTTGAGAATGATCTAAAAAAAATATGTCCAAGAGTATTTTCCAATTGTATTGCTGTGAGTTGCCTAGTATAAAGTATCAGCAGTTCTACTTGATTTAGTAATTTCTGCATTTTGGATGAAGGCATTTATAAGTCATTTATAAAGCTCATCAATAAGTTATAGCTCCTTCAGTACAACTGATCCCCATGGTTGGAACTTGATATGTAATCCACTGCTTCAACCCACTTTAATGTAATTGCAACTCTATATTTACCTGTTCACCCATGTAACAGCAGCATGATTAAGGTCACACTTTCATAGCTTAGTGATAAGAATATTGTTTAGGCTACAACCTAAAACCTTCCTCCATACAAAATTGATTCTATCCAGCACATTATCATTATTTATATAGTCTATCACTTCAACATGGAAGGAAATTAAATTGGTGCAGAAAAATAGCTACTCAGAAGGTAAAATGCAGCTACTTCTTTATCTCTTATGATATTCTGATAAGTTGTTTATGGATTGTATGATGGATTGTTCTCGTCAGGTATTGCTTTTAAGCTATCTGGCTTATAATGATCAAGTCATTTCCTTTAAAAATATGGAAATGGCAGCTTCTTTCCTCCATATTGATCGCTCAAATATAAAGAATATTCAAGGTCAGATGACAATTTCTTTTCTTTTCTTTTCTTTTCTTTTTTTTTTCCGGTACTGGGAATTGAACTCACGACCTTGCACTTGCCAGGCAGGAGTTGTGCCACTGAGCTAAATCCCAGCCCCAGATGCCAATTTCTTAAATGTATCTGGAAACCTGACATTGGGGCATAACAATGAGTGCACTCATGTACTGCATACCCTTCCATGGTCTAGTTTAGCTTTCTACAGCTCCTGGACTGAGGCATTTAATCAGATGCATATCTCCCACATTACGTAGGGAACTTGTTGAACACAGGTCCAACCCAGCTTCATTCTTTTTTGTAACTTCTCTGAACCCAGTGTAGCATCATACACAAATATGTAATGAATTAAATTATTTTTTGAGAGAAATATTTCTTTGGATATCTATAAAAAGATAGGACTTTTCTTTTGAGTTATCTTCTAGGAAAAATGTTCTCATATACCGTCCAATGATAATAAGATAAGAGTGTACCTATAGATACTCTAGAGCTCTTAGAGCTCTTCAAAGGCTTTGCCCATACTCCGTCTCCTAAATTGTTGTTGTCCTCTTTTATATTTTTGTGGAATGACTGCATAGGAAGTTAGGCTCAGTCCTCACAGTCAGTATAGATGGTTTACCCGATCCACGATCTCGTAGTAGGTAACTGTGAAGGTTCATTTATGGTCAACAATGAACATGACTTTAAACATCAACACTGGGGCTTTGCTTTACATAACAGAAATTAATTGTTGCAGTACAGCAGGTAAAATTAGTAAGGGTTTTAAACCACACCTCCAGTATTCATGCTTTTATGTTGTGTTTATAAGACTGAATCCGTAATTAAGACTTATTCAATGGCATAGACAATCTATGGAAACAGGATCTTTCCCTTCATCCCATTACTTTAATCTGAGTCATTTCTGTTTCCTGTGGGGAAGCACGTTTCACCTGTTGAAACTTGATGTAAACACCATAATAAGTGAAGAGGTCTAGAGCTTTGATGGAAAATCAATTTTTTAAAAAATTAGCATGTCAATGATCCTTATCCTGAGGGCTGGGAGCTTCATGCAGCCTAAATAATGTACTGAGCCGGGGACAGCTCACAGGCCAGTGTGAGGACACACAGAAGAACTCAAAGTAATTTTTCTAGCCACATGATATATTAATGACATTGCTTATCATCCTCCTTCCCTACTAGCAGGCACCAAGATAGGAAAAGGTTAGACAGCTTTCTAAGGCCATGGGGTAATTTGTTAAAATTGAAATAGAATTACGTTTGAATTGCCAAAGCCTTGTTCTCAGTAATGAATCAAGTTTTTTGTTCTTTCCGGCTAAATCTTCCAGAAATGTGATTAACAATACTCTCTTCTTTTACATCCAGATATTTGCATGCAAAAAATCAAAACATCGCGGTGAAGTTTAGGTCCTTTGTGGTCTAATATTTGGTTACTGGATTAAAAAATTCATCCCCAAATTTTGTTTTGAAATATCGATTTGATCTAATCTTACTTTTTTTCTGCCTTCTTTAAAAATTCCCTGGATGCACCCTTATTAAATCAATAATAATCACAATAACAGCTAACATGTACTGAATGCTTATTAAATACCAGGCATGGGGCTGAGTGCTTTATGTCAACCTTATCTAATTTAATCTTATAAGAATCTCATAGGAATACAACCTGGATTTCTGCATATGGAACATAACTTCATGTTTCCAGATCTGCACTTTCTTACATAAATCAAAGCCATAATTATCTTCTGTATTTCCCAATTTCAGTTTTATTAAGGTAGATTGAGATCTTAAAGGTGCCAAGCAGAATCTTTTCAGATTTAATATTTTTCCTAATATTTTACCAATATCTTGCCAACCTCTAATTCTACAGCTTTTAGCTACTGAACTTTATTAAAATTTTTCAAGACATTTTCATAGAAACAGCAATTCTTTTATACACCCATATGTTATTGAGTTGCATATTTTATAATTGACTGAATAATTATCTCAACAAGTTGAAGTGGCACAGCAGGTCTGGGAACAAAAACAACTGACTTTTGGTCCACCTCACCTCCAGTGGTGAGGCCAGATGTTCACATGTAGGCTGGAGCACACCTGCTGGTGAGCATGGGTGGGAAGATTTCTCTGAAGGAAGTGAAAGAGGTGCTTAACCAGGCAAATCATTTAAGAGGGCACCAGCACAGAGAAATACTGTGTTTGATACTTTGTGTATGCAGCACTTTGATGAAAAAAAAATTTTTAAAAAATTAAAATGAAGGCAAAGGAAGAAAAGAATGAGTTTAAGTATTTGCCCAAGATTCCAAAACTAGAAATAGAACAAGGAGTGAACTCCAGCCTGACACTGTTTCTCTCCATCTCGCTATGTTCAGGACAGGCATTGCTGGAGGTTGAAGGTGCTGCTGCAGTCCGGAAACCAGACTTGAGGCAGCTACAGAATTGTGCACAAGAAAACAGAGCAACAGAAGATAGAAGCAGAGATTTACAAAGGAGGAGCCCTACAGTTGTGGTTGACTTCAGTTAACCCACGCATTACTTTTTTTTTTTTTTCGGTATTGGGAATCGAACTCAGGACCTTGCGCTTGCCAGGCAGGTGCTTGCACCACTGAGCTATATCCCCGGGCCAACTCATGCATTTCTTCATTTCCTATACCTTGATTTCAAACAGACAGGGTTTCAGCAAACATATTTTGCCTACTGGCATTGCCAAGAGAGCTGGCTTTTGTAGTTCTGAAACTGAAGAAACCTTGAAAGGGCACTGACCCTCTCCAGCAAACAATAAACAACACAGCATGACCTGAAACTCAAGGCCCTCCAGGGAAACGTAGGGTGGGATCAAGCTTAAGGAAATTTGTGATGACAAATGGCAATTCAAAGGAAGTAATGTGAACCTCACTGCCCACTTCCTTCTAATCCTTGCCTTTTACAGGTTCTACTGTGTCAAGTCCTTCGTGGGTAAATTTATTTAATCCCCACAATGAAGAACATTCTAGAAGGGATGGTTTTCTACTAGCTGTTTTAAAAATGCCTCACAATAAGTGATCACGTTTTTCCTTCAAGTATTGATTTCACTTAGGCTAAATGGT